TGGCGGCTGACTCTGCCGCCTTTGTCATAACTCCTCGCTGTGCTCCGGCGCACGCGCGAGGGCCTTCGCACGAGGGCCCAGAGGGTGTGTGAGTCTGCAGAGATTCTGCTACCACCGGTGGCTGTCCCGGGGCATCCGCCATAGCGCACTCCCGGGATAGAGGGTGGCCAGGTGCCACGACGTCGCCGATGCTGGAGATGTTGCTTTCGACCTCGTCATCTACGATGTCGTGAAAGGAGGCGGGAGCGTAGCCCGCCATCCCCACAAATTTGGATGTGAGAGGGGGCGGCGTCAGTATCCTTTGGAGCCCCCTCGCGTACGCGTCCTCTGGGAACACGAAGCCGTAGGGCAACCGGAGAGTCGGCGGAAGGTGTTAAATAATGAGTAAAGAACAAAATATACATTACTCACCATGGAGTTTGAGCCCAACATGGGCTCGAGGTGAAGCGCAAGGGTTTCGACGTTGAGGTCGTCGGGTAGTTCGGGGCCGATGGAGGGCGCTCCTCCTCCAGTGTACGCTGGGACGAGCGCCTCCTCGCGAAGGCAGAGTACGCCGAGCCGGTCAGCAATGAAGTCTAGACTCTCTAAGAGGAAGGTATGGAGTGGCACGAAGACAGGAGGAACCAACATCCCAACAGGTGGGAGCGTGGGGAACTCTACCGAGCCAAAGCGAATCATATCGCTCGAGCCCGCCATGATGAAGATGGTGGAAAGGTGGGCCATCCAATGACCAAAAGTGTGAACGCACGACGTCCTCCCCACGGACGGCGCCAACTGTCGGTGCAAAAAGTGACCAACAAGTAAATATTTGTAATTTTACCGTGCGTTGTGATTGGATGTGGCCTAGCACTCAATCACACAAGATTTATACTGGTTCAGGCAACATGCCCTATGTCCAGTTTCAGTCGGTCAGTGACTTTATTCGTGAGCCTAGGTGCTCGAAATTTGCTGTGGGGTTACAAACAAGTTGGAATAAGAAGGGGGTGTTAAAGGTCCGGTCGGACTCTGAACCGAAGGGCCAAGAGTGACGGGGGCTCTAACATGCGCTAAGTATTGGACCGTATGCTCTGTGTAGCTTTAAAGTTCTAGAGCTATTGAGCTATTTGAGTTCTCAGGTCCTCGAGTGCTCGAATCGTCTAGCTTCTCTTTTTTGAGGAGAGCTAGAGAGCCAGAGAGAGCTTTTTAGGAGAGAGCTCATCCCCTTTTATAGTCGAAGGAGATGGCCTTATAAGTCAGAGAAAGAGAGAGAATGTATACGTGTGCTACCTAGTCTTGTTGTCCACGCTGTCGGGTACGAGATGGTCGTCGGCGCCCACAATACTGTTTATGTCCAGATGCATGTGGCATGCTCTACCGTGTTCGCCTGGTATGACAAACGTCGGCGCCTATAATACTGTTTGTGTTCTGACATGCCTGGAAGGTTGCATAGTGCCCATCTGGCATGGCCTGGTGGCACTGTCCTGCAGGTGCGTAGGGTATGGTAGGATACGGTCATCGGTATTGCGGTTTAACTTGAGCGCCTTACCTTATCTGCTCGCCTGATCCCCGGGACCTCATCCAGTGGGCGTCCCCGGTCGGTCGTTCCTAGTCGGCTCCGACCGTGTCGGTCGGGGAAGAGCCGCGAGCAGAGGTCCGGCGTATCCCCGGTCGAAAAAGGAGGTTGGAGTCGGACTGTGTCCCCACCTTGGCCAGACCTTCCGATCGGGAACCGGATCGTTCTCCCGGCCTGTCATTATGTATCTGGGTCGGTCCGGGAGGCGCGCGTTGTCGCTACGCCGTCTGCTGGGCCGAGTTTTTACATAGGTTCATTGGGACCCGGGTTTATGAACCCGATACTATGGTACCCGTGTTTGCACATACTGTAGGTTTTTTTCTTTTTGATCTATTAGCCACATTTGAACTGTAAAGTGCCGCGTGATATTAGATGGTACAAACCGGTGTTTTTTTGTTGAACTGAAACAGGCTTTCAATGCAGAAAGCAGATCTGTATATCCCCTGATTTGTGTCGATCAAATCCACATACTTTCACAGTTCCACTAGCTTCATCATGATGTTTCTGGCTGCATGACTGGTCCCGGCTAAGAGCAAGCGTGCTTCAAGCCATTGAAGTGGCTGGATTGAGTGGTAGAGAATGACAACCGTGGGAATACTGCTTTACTTGGTACCTGCAATGACCGAGCTATGCAACTGCATGCTTTACCTTCAGATTGGCCCTTTAAATATGCTGGCTCGGTTTGTTACTTAGAAGCCAAAGCTTGTCTCTGATACCCTGTCAAAACAAAAGAAATAAATAAACAAAAGCTTTTTTCCAATGCTGCAAATACGTGCGCCTTCGTTTTCTACATACTGTTCTAAGGCCGTGTTTAGTTTAAAAAACCAAAAAAAAGTCATAAAAGATGATCCATCACATCGAATTTTTGAATACGTGCGAGTGGAGCAAATTAAATGTCAAACGGAAAAAAAACAAATCTTACATTTTGGTTTGGATGGAAATTAGAAGCCGAACGTTTTGAGCCTAATTAGTCCATGATTGAACACTAATTGAAATAAAAAACAAAAGTTTTTTTCCAATAGCCCAAATTCCAAACTTCAGCCAACTAAACACGGGCTAAATATTCCAGAAGGATAGAGGTTGACATTTTGTTTCCAGATAATCTTTTCGCTGCTCAAAATTGTGACATTTTGTTACATATATTTGTTAGCAAGCAATTTAGGACACATCTTCCCTGATTGATGACAATTGCGAATCTTTAGATTTTAATGCTTCTTCAATGCTGTTAGTACAAAGAAACATTCCAAAATATATTGTGTTGTCAATGTTTATGTTGTTTAAAGTCCCATCCCATGGCGGAGCCATAAATTATACCTGGGGGTGGTGGGTGGGGGAGCTACAAAGATCCAACTTGTAAAAATCGAGGACAACTCAACTGGTTAGGTTTCTGGCGATGACCATCTGGGTTAATTCATCAATTTGACACGGGAGCTTGCATTTTCTTTTATATGTATTCTAGGATTTAAGACACTATTCGTTTCATGGTAGATGACATTCCTGTTGAAGCAAGGATCTACGATGATTTAATAAATCTCAAGATCTAGTGACCCAGTCTTTCGGATGTGCTTATAGGGACTATTATATTATCTAGTGTCTTTTTGATGTGCTCATATGGGTGATTTTAATTTATTACATAGTTGTGCTTTGTATGATTTTAGTATCTAGAAGACATTAATAAGTATATATGATAAGAATTTTATTATATTCACTCTTTTAATATAAATAGAAATTATAAAGTCATACTATTTTTTTTTTCCGGTGTGATATGTTAGGGGGGGGGGGGGGGGATTGCCCCTGCCAGCCCCCCCTTGGCTCAACCATTGGTCCCATCATGGGTATCTCAAAATCTTAAGGTTGCTGTGCTAGCCTGAATCATCTTTAGTACTAAGTTTTAGCCATGTGTTTTGCAATCTGCACATAATTTTACTAAGTTTAGCCATTGTGCAGGGAACTTAATAACAACATAATTATTCAGATTTACTTTTTGTGCAGGGAAACACAAGAAACTTGGTTATTGCTTGACTTTGAAATGCTTATGCAGTGAAAGAGTAGTTTAAAAAGTTGAAGAACATTCCGACGTAAGCGCTAATACTCAGGAGAAAAATGAATATATGTTTCAATTGATACCTGTATAATTAACTTGGATAATTTGATAGAATGTAAAAATAGATGATGATGTTCTATTAGGATTGATAAACAATGCAGATTTATTGTCAAATGTATTAATAGGAGTTCAAAAAAAAGTTGAAGCACACAAAAAAATGTATTAATAGATAGGATGAAGTAATATAGTACAGCCAGTTATACATTGAATAAATTGTCACGCAGCGCTTGTTAATTAAGCCTTTTGCAAATAAAGTGCAGAGTGTAGTAAAGTACACTTATATGTTAATAACTTGCAGGTTCTGTGATTGAAGACCATAAGCAGTATATGATTGCGCAAAACGGGAAGACCTGATAGCAAAGAAATTAAATGGCAGGGGACATTAATAAGAAAATGAAGACAGTGAAAGAAATCGGAAAAGATAAAATCAAGGAGCTTAATTATATGAAAAAAGATAAAAAGGAAGGTGAATATCAAAATGGAGGAAGTGAAGGTGGATTAGGGGAATCAGAGATGCATTTCATGGTCAATGTCTCGGGTCTCTCCAACGTCGAACAGTTGATGTGCCTACTGGCCGTACGTGTTATGTTTAGCGAAACTGCAAGACATAGACACGGTACATACAGTGGGAGTCCTGCTGTGGTGGTGGAGCTCGAGCAGCGGGTCGCCTCCGCGGCGAAGCCATGCATGGAGCTCCGCCACGCCCGCGACAGCTTCAGCTTGGCCCCAACACTACCTGCTGTTGCTGTTTCACGGACCTGGAGCATTCAGTTCCATTGCACGCGGTTGCTGGGGATGAGCTCGCCGGCATGCCGCCCATGGGGACCGGGGCCGAGCTCGCAGGTTCGCAGCCCACGCGGCAACGTACGGGAGATTAGCTTCTTCCCTCCCATCTCCGGACCTATCTCTCTCACCTTTCCCGTGTCCGTCCCCCATGGCGCCACGACTAACGCGCGCACGATGATGCCCGCCACGGCAGCGCGGCCGTGGACGCCGGTGTGAGGCGGTGAGTAAGTTTGCGAGCTGTTTGGTTCGGACGTTTAGCGGCGTCATCGGATTACGCTGTCAGGTCAATCCCATTAGTTTCCGTTTCCGTCTTGTTTAATTAATTTATATTTATTAAACAAAAGTCATCATTTATGAAAGGAGATGTGCAACTCAAACCGGCTTTCAGATAAGAAAGAGAAAGTACTTCCATCCATATATACATACGGAACATCAAAAACCGCTTTTACCACCACGCCACGCGGTAGTGATAGTGATGAGGATATTAACTTTGCCCAAATAAGCATGCATCACCAGTACGTAGTTCTGTTCTACAGTCTAATTAAGCTAACGCCATGGTTACGGGGGAGCTACTGGCATCACAGCCTCAGGTGGAACCACAGGAACGGTGGAGATGGAAGCCGTGCCCGCGCCAGCTGGCTCCTCCCCTCGACGCGCATTGGCGATACTGGTGGGCTCACCTCCTCCTCCTCCTCCTCCTCCTCCTGCTCCCCTGATAAGCTTGCTTAGGGAGCGAGTACCTTGTTTGTCCGCGGCAGCCAGAGTTTGAGGCCAGCAAAGACGGCTGCAGCGCACAGCAGCCCCACTGCAAGCCACAGCCTCAGTGGCGAAGCTGAAGGCGCCTCGGGCTAGATAATCCAATCACCCAGCAAGCAGTAATCCAATCTAATTGCAACAACCGATCCATGCAATGCAAGCAAGTAATGATACATATAAAATTTCAATCAAATTACAAACAAAGTCGTTTCAAAAAACAAATAAAGGCCACGATTGTGCGCTGCATGTTTGAATCTGTTAATTATATCAGATCCGCGAAATAGTGGGGGCTTACAGTGGGTGGTGCAGTCGTCGTCGGCGGCGAGTTGATTAGCGGCGGCGCGCACGGGAAAGGTGGTGGTGGTGGACTCGCAGTCTCTGACTGCCACCACTCCTCCTCCGCACAGAAGCCTGAGGAGGAGGGTGACGCGGGCTGCAGACAACTCCATATCTGCTCGGCGCTGCCTCTCCCTCTGCGTCTCTCTACTGCCACTCGTGGACTTGTCCACCAAGAAGAAGAAGAAGAGAGAGTGGGGAGGCCGATCTGGGTCTGCTAAGTGGGCCGCTGGGAGAATTTGGCCCAATATCTAGTGACACTTCCCATTGACAGTTTTCTCAAAAAAAAAATTAATTGACTAAAAAAATTTGGAAATCAGAGATACTGGTGCGAGGCCGATGTTATGCGAAAAAACCCTTGACATTTTCATTAACCGTTGTGCACAGTGAACGCGGTCAAACCTTTCGTTGACAGATCCCTGATGTATATTTTATTTGCACGTGAAGAACAGAAAATTCGACATTTTTACAGAAAACCGCCCGCACACAATTCCGCAGGGGACACCCCACCTTCTCCGGTTGCGCTAGCTAGCTCCCACTCCAGGGAGTCCTCTGATCCTCTCTCTCCCCTCCCCGCCGCCGCCACCGTCGGCCCGTGCGACTTGCCGGTGTTTCAGCCTCCGGCGCTGGCGCAAGTACGAGATCCGTCGTCCACCACCCCCATGTGGCATGACTTCTTCAGCCTTGCCCCCGAGCTCTAGCCACGACCTAAATGGAGTACCCACCTTCTCCGCTGTCGTTGCGCCGCGGCGGCCCTTGTTCCCAGTCGCGGATCGACGATGGCGCCTGGGGCTCGCCGCGCCACCAGGTGGTTCTCCGCCTCGCGCTACCGGGAGGTCGGAAGAGGGGCGCCCGGGCGGAGTCCAACCCAGTCGCAGCGAGTGCGAGGGTCTCTCCAACGTGCTCGCCGGCTCTCTGCTTCCCCGACAGCCTCCTGCTCCTCCGCTTCCACAACCTTCTTGGTCAAGGGCATGGTGGCACTGTAGTGAACTTGCAGCCGAGGATGGTGACTGTAGATGTGCAGGATTACAAGTACGCAAGTATGTGCTACAGTCCCTACCCAGCTTATGCCCATTGAGGTAATGGTCTGCTCAGTTCTGAGTATTCGGTGCTTGATTTGTCCTTTAATGTTATGCCAATTATCTATTCGTATTACATGGTTTTGTCCTGTAATGTTATGCCAACAATCTATTTGGATTCCAATTTTCAGGGCATGTTGGGGCTGACAATCCTCATCAGAGTTGTCAATAAAACCTCTCAAGGTAACTGCAGTCCAGTGCGATATTGTTCACGTGTCTTTTCAGGGCGAACATAATAGGTGTTGTACTTTTATTTGGTAGTTGTAATTATGATGCACTTTATCAGAAGATTATTGCGATGCAAGAAGGCTCGTGTTCATCGACGGGCTTTGAAAGTTCTCCCTGTAACAACATATTCATGCATCACGAGGGGATACTGCTGTCACCGTGAATACAAGACTATTGATTCTTCACAGAGCAAGTGTCAGTCGATTTCTGCTATCCAGGATCCAGTAACTTGTGGTGTTGTCTGTGTATGTTTGGCAATTAAGGTTTCTTCTCCCTGTCTGTAGCTAAATCAATACTTGAATTTCGCAGACCACAGCATGTACAGATCTTCACTGAGGTTTCAAGCGCTCAAGCTATAAATCTAAATCCTATCCCATTAGTCTTTACGGAGTAATTCGCAGTACGTGATGACTTGAGGCCGAGGAGGAATTATGTCTTTAACTGTTCGAGATATGATAGTGTCATGGTTCATCGAGTGTGGTTTGCTTCTGTGCCATTCTTGCTCTTTAGTTGTGAATTTGTGATCGTATCCAAGAGTGGTGTGCGTGCTGTTGTTGCTATCCTTCATATAGTAGATTAAGATTGCACTTTCAGATAACCCTGTTTCAGAGCATCTGCTTCCATCAGAGCAAGTGGTCAAGCTACAGCTTATATTATCTCCTGTTGGTTCATCTACTTGTTGCTAGCTTATGTTATCTCCTGGTTATTCAAGTGTGACAACTTATGTTATCTCCTTGTGGTTCATTTATTTGGGTTTACCGTACTATAATTTTTTGGTACAGGGAGGACCAGGTCTTATACTGCCATGTTCTTAGGTTATCTACAAATTTGAAGGACCTGATTGGTAGGAGTGAAACAAATCTTTTCATTTACTTATATATGTTGCTGAGATACATAGTCTCAGGTTACATGGTAGTTACATGGGCTTAATCACGCATCCAAAGATTTACCAAGTATTAAGACTTGAGGAAAAACATGCCGATCTAATCAAAATTTCAGAACTTTGGAGTTCACCAATGACCCCTATTTTTTTCTTCTGAAATTTACATTAACATTATCATAATGCATTTTATCCAGTTTGGGATTTTCCATCCATCCTAGCTGATTAGGAATCATACTTTTTTTTGTTTATGTGCATCTACAAGAGCACTTACAAGTTACACCAATTATATGGGACCTGAATATGATCAGGAGTACTTTAGCATAGTTTCGCCTATGTGATTTGTGAATTGTTGATACATAATGCACTCTGATCCCTGGTTTGGGTATATTATCATGTGTGCTACAAACTACCAGAAAATAAGTTGTATGTTATAGGCTAGATGGATAGTTGAGCATTGTATGAGGTGCCCAGTTACGTCTTTGTTGGCAAATAGTTAATATGCCATATTTTGCTAATGTACTGTCAGTATTACCGTGTCAACTAATTGGTTAATTTGTTTTTCAGAAGAAAATCCATAGTTATATTATTTTAGCTTTTACTTTTGTTTTGAAAGCATGCCCTTGCTTCATGTTTCATAGTCTGAAATGGAATGATGGTTACGCGTTACCATGATGCAAAGATATTCTCATCTGTTGGGATAAATAGTGCTTTTAGTAGTGCATGGTAGGGCACCGCGAAGTGCGCCATATTTTCTTGTCGTCTTTAAATGTCCGTTTAGGTGAACAATGCTGAGACTACCCTGCTATGTACTTGATGCACTCCAACTCCATTAACTGAAGAATCTAGTTTTGTGTTTATTAGTGTCATCTTATGAACGGTACAATTCCTATACTTATTGAGACCAATGCATTGTATAACGTACTATATTTGTACCAACTTATTATCAGCAATTTGAAGTCGAATATACAGTATTATATGTGTTTTTATTATATAATAATATGCTCATGTTTCCTACTATGAGTTCCTCTGAAGTTTGGTGCTTTACCGTTTCAGACGAATTAGATTACCTCTGAACAAGTGATGCTTTGTAGTAATAGGCATTTTTTCTTTAAGCTTTAAGTCAGGTCAAAAAAATATGCTTATTCAGTGTTCTATCTGGTTTCCCAAAAGTTGGAATTCCTATTTACTTGATCTAGACAAAATTGTATTGTCCACAACCACATTTGAGGTTTATGTGGTTTATGTCAGTTTTTCCAGCTGCTGCTAAGGAAGGAAGTTCAGTAGCATTCAGTTTTTTTTTTTATACGGAAAGAAGGAAGTGCCTATTGTTCTTTGCATCTACCAATACTTGCTTGTTACTTTTTTAGTAATCTGTCCTATATTGGTGTTCCAATTTAATGTTCATGTTTGGTAATCCGCTTTTTCCTTCTCTCTTACAGAGTCCTTTTGGGTTTCCTGACAAAACAAGTGTTGCATCGTTCGATTTGTTTTATAGACAACTCAGGTTGATGTCCATTTTTTAGATTTAGCTCTTCTACCTTTTCACTGTAACTCACTGTGACCGTGCCTGCTTTGGCTTGTGCCTATACACACATACCAACTATTTCATAAAAGGGGGGAGGCTCCCACATGAGTGGGGTCTGGGGAAGGGAAAAACCGAGGCAAGCCTTCCCCCCACAAAATCTGCGGAGAGGCTGCTTCGAACCCACGACCTGGTGACTCAGTGAGACAGCTCTCACCACTGCACCAGGCCTGCCCTTCATACCAACTATTTCATGAAATAGATAAATCATCCAACTCTCATTTTATTTTGACTCGTTTTGATTGAATTCCAGTTTTCCAGATCTCAGAATAGTGCATTGGCAACAATAGAACATTTCAGTATATATGAATTAGGCAATTGCTGTTCTAACAAATAATAATAATGGTGAAAGGTAGTTCTATCAATAAAAAATAATTGTCTTTATTTTTCCTGGTATTTTATATTTATATTTCAAATGAAGAAGAATGCCAATGCTTATGATCTAGCCTTCCGTGCGAAGGCTTCAACTTGAGCGCTTAATCAAGTAAACCTACTAGATCAGGAAGCAACTATCTCATTTTTTTAAAAAAAAACTTTCTAATCAGATTAGTTTGGAACTTCATGGACATACATTTACATTCTTGGCTGCACGTGTTCTATTTGCTTACTGTCTTCTCATGATGTCCCTTAACCTATTATTATTCTTGGCAGGGCTGCACATTGACCATGTTCTGTTTGTTGCACCTTGCACGTGTGCACTACTTCTCTATGAACCGGGTATAGTAAGCCTTCCCCTCTATCCTTTGTTTATTCCTGTTTTTTTTTGTACGACTGCTTTTTGTGTGTGTTTACAGAAAGGTTACTATAAAATGCATGCAGTTTCGGTCTGCCAGTCCTGTTGTTGGCCAGAACATTGTTGCCTGACATCTACCATATGTTAACTATGCAAATTCTAAAAAACCATAGTAGCACATGGGTTAATTTTTATGATCTTAGCACCTGCAATGGCCTATGGGGTTTATGCAAGTTGACAACTTAATGTCCACTATGCTTCTCCACCTACATTTTGATCCAAAAAAACATTTGAACCCTATTGCCGCTTGCCGTCGATCTGGACCATTCAAGGCTAATGTCGACCTGGACCATTCAAGGCCAACTACATCGCCTTTGTGTATTTTTGGTTTGCCAACTAATAATGATGTTTTTCCTTTAATCTGGTCATGCTGGTTATTACCTGACGATACAGATTTCCTTTCCCTTGGCTAAAATTTGTCATGTTTGTAACTGGCACTTAACACAGGCCTTGATTTTTCTTGCATTGCTATTTTACTCTTTTTTTTCTCTCTCCTTGCTGGTTACCTGACTATGGGATGCTTCTGTTGCTGGATTCATACTTTTGAGAGACTGTATTGTAGATTAGGACGTATGAATTGGGCGAGAATAGAACTTACTCCATATTCATTGATCCTTTTTCACAATGTGTGACCATCCTGTCTCATGGTATTGGTATTCTAGGGACCTTCAGCAGTTCAGGCCCTTTTTAAATTAGTTTTGTTGGTCATTACGAGTGGGGAAGCGAAACAATTATGCCATTTCGTTTGTCGGTTCTTATAATGAACAAGTTGACGGTGAAGATCATGGCTTATGCTTGCAAGACAGCGGAAATTACCGATGCTGGAATTTCGCGTGAATTGCCCAGTCCTTGATGGATAGTCATTATAGCACAAAAAATATGTGGTCATGGCTATATGTTCTTCCTGCTGTATTTACTTGTGATGGATCTCCCTAGCTCTTTTCAGCCAATAACACTTGATGTTCTACTTATGTTTGTGAAGTAAGATAGTTAAGCTTACTGTCTTTTCAGCCAATAACACTTGATGTTCTACTTATATTTGTGAAGTAAGATAGTTAAGTAAGCTTACTGTCTTTTCAGCCAATAACACTCGATGTTCTACTTATATTTGTGAAGTAAGATAGTTAAGTAAGCTTACTGTCATATCCTGCAGTTGTAGAGGATCTGTTCAAGAGAAGGGAACCAATGCCCCTTCGATGGATCCAATCTACTTTCTTCAGCCACTAAAAGAAAAGTAATTTTTGACAGCCTTTGGGCTTTTCTTTTGTCTTTTTGAGTTTAATGGTGAGGTGAAAATCACAAAATGAGAGATATGTGTTCTCCAATTGATGCAAAGATATGGTCATTCTGATTGTAATTTCGACTATCGTTTAATTATTTGTTATAGCCTCTTCCGAATCATCTATTGAGAACTACAGTGTATCATATTCCTCTTTTCTATCAACGAAAAAATGTAGAGCACAAGATCATATTCCATTTTGTCCAGGAACACATTTATTACTCGCAGTGGCAC